AGAAGCTGAAGACCCAAATTTTAATGATTAAATGTAGATTCATGGAATTTATTTTACCTCAAAATCACCTTCAAGGGCATCTATTTAACTAGCCCAAGATTATATTATTAGTTATAACCAGAGCTAAGACTAGAACCACATTTAACATGAGTCACTATCAGTCTTTTTTTCCATCACTTTGCTATCCCTCATTTTCTATGCTTGTGTCATCGTTCAGCAAATATTACTGACTGCTTGTTGCGTGACAGGCTCCATGCTATGTGCTGATGATACCACAGAAAACAAGGTTAAGTCTGAACATTCAGAAAATTAGCAGTCAAGCTAACACATATCCTTGCCACTGTTTAAGTTTCTACATTATGTAACTTTTTTCTATTTCAAGAGATAGCAAGCTTTAAAAACACACCAATTTTCTACTTTCTGCCAGAGGAAATATAGTTACAAGTACCAGACATTTTGATGTAGAGAGTGACAGGCATGGTGAGACATTCCTGCCATAGGAAAGAGCAAAATGTCCTTAAATTACAATTGTACATTTTGTACACAGATTTTCCAGGACAAACTCATCCAGATCAACTGCTTAATGGAGTTTATGCCACTTTCTCCTGAGTTCCCTATTGTGGTACTACTAATCAGACATATGACACTCAAAAAGTCTTTGTAACCTGATTTCACATGACCCAATAAAAGAGAGCTGAAGAAAGATATGGTGATCTCTCCTAAGACTTTTGCTTCTCTGAGTTCGATGTTATTAATATACCCTCCATTTGCAACAACAGATCCATTTTTTGCTCTTCCCCACTATGCTTTGTGCCTTCAAAAATCTGATGAATACTAACCATTGTCTATATTAATGGGTTCTCATGTTCTCTGACTTTGGGTTAGTTTTAGTCAATTAGAAATCCATGCAAATGATTGGAGGAAAGGAGGAAAATGAAGTCAGAGTATTTATTCCTCTGATTTCCTCCTTGCATGATTTTTGTAGTCTTGTTTCATCCCTATAGATCATCACTTTTTATCTGACCATTCTCTCCACACAGCTCTCTCATTCTTCAGATTCCAGTAACAGGTGGTAGCAGTTGCCTTCCTGTTTCCAAATCCAAGTTATTTCTTGTGGTTGCCCTATACTGTCCCTTTCCTTTGTAATTATTCAATTATTAAACTCTCCTCAAATTATCGTATTAGAGTGTATAATGTGTTTACCATCAGGACCCTTCCTGATACACTTCTTTCCATCATTTGCCCTACAACACCATTTCAAGTCCCATCATCACTCAGATTTCTTCCTGTTCCCTAGTTACTATTTAATTTGTCGCTATTCCTCTTAAGGCATAAGACCCACAACGGAAAACAGTTCTTCAAGTATAGTCTGATCAACACAGAACACAGAGAGAACGTCACCTCTTGCTTTAGCTACAACAGTCCCATGGAACTTAATCAAAGGTACTAGTAGCTTTTGAACAACCTTTTCACATCCTTGGCTCACGATATATTTACTGTCAATTGAAAATATCTGGGTTGATCTTTTTATACTACTGTAAACCAAATGTCTCCCATTCTATTCACAGATGTTAGGTTTGGGACTCCAAGATAAGAACCTGCCAATTTTCTCTATCAAAATTTTCCCTGCTTGATTAAATCCATTGCTTCTAGTGGTCCAGAATCTAGATTGTTGAAACTTTTGTTACATTTAGATTCTGTTATCAGAAAAATCTTCCAATCCTTTTGCCATTTTTAAACTTGATACATATATTGTAAATATACCTGTTTTTAATTTTTTTTTTATTTCAGCATATAACGGGGGTGCAAATGTTTAGGTTGTGTATATTGCCCTTTCCCCATCCCAGTCAGAGCTTCAAGCATGTCCATTCCCCAGACAGTGCGCACTGCACCCATTAGGTGTGAATATACCCATCCCCTTCTCCCCCCTCCCATCTGCCCGACACACGATGAATGTTATTACTGCATGTACACCTAAGTGTTGATCAGTTAATACCAATTTTAAGCCATCATTATGAACCTGTAAAAAAGAGAGGGATGAGAATATATGAATGACAAATAAGCACATGTAAAAGATGCTCAACATCATTAGCCGTCAGAGAAATTCAAATTAAAATGACAATTATATATTACTACATACCTATCAGAAAAGATTTTTTTTTTAAGTAACAAAACCAAATGCCAGTGAGAATGCAAAGAAACTAGATCACTCATTCATTGCTGGTTGGAATGTAAATGATACAGACACACTATAAAGGTTGGAATTTTCTTATAAAACTAAACATAGCAACTACCATACTACGCAGAAATTACACCTCTGAGTAATTATTAAATAAAAATGAAATCTTATGTTCATACAAAATCCTGCATGTGAATGATTATAGCAACTTTCTTTGTAATAGCCAAAAACTAGAAATAACCCAGAAGCTTTTCAACAGGTGGAATGATTAAGTAAACTGTGATATATTTATATCATGGAATACCGCACTCAGGAATATAAATTAATGAACTATTGATACATGCAACAACCTGAGTGAATTCCTACAGACTTATTCTGAGTGAAAAAACGAGTTCCAAAAGGTTGCATACTAAATGATTCCATTTGTATAACATTCTCGATGTGACAAGATTATTGAGATTAGTGATTTCTAAGGGTTATGAACTTGAAGGGAAGAGTAAGTAGGTGTGGCTATTAAAGGGCAACTGGAGAGATCCTTGTGGTGATGAAACTCTTCTGTACTTTTACTATGGTGGTTGTCACTTGAATCTGGACATATGATAAAATTGTATATAACTAAACACACACAAATAAGCATCATATGCAAAACTGGTGAACTCTGAATCAGGTAGATAGATTGTATCAATGCGACTTTCCTGGTTGTGAAGTTGTACTATACTTTTGCAAGATCTTATCCTTGGAGGATATTTAGTAAAGGTTATACAGGAATCTCTGTATTATTTCTTGCAGTGGCATGCTAACAGGTATATGCAAAGGTGCTTAACATCATTAATCATAAGGGAAAAGCAAATCAAAATGGCAATGAAACATCACCTCAGACCTGTTAGGATGGTTTTTATCAAAATGACAAAAAATAGCAAATGTTGGCAAGGGTGTGGAGAAAAGGAAACTCTAGTACACTGTTGGTGGGAAGGTGGATTGGTATAGCCATTATGGAAAACAAAATGAAGGTTCCTAAAGAAATTAAAAGTGTAACTACTGTGTGACCCAGCAATCTCTCATCTGCATATTCACACAAAGGAAACAAAATCACCACATCGTAAAGATATCTGCATTCCCAAGTTCACTGCAGCATTATTCACAATAGCCGAGACATGGAAACAACCTAAAATGCCCACCAACGGATGAATGGATTAAAAAATGTGGGAGATATATATAACAATGGAATATTATTCAGTTTTAAAAAGGAGACCCAGCCATTTGCCACAATATGGGTGGAACTCTAGGCATTAGGCTAAACTAAATAAGCCAGAGAAAGAAAAAAATTGAATGATCTCATAGGTGGAATATTTAAAAAGGGGAGGGGTCAAATACACAGAGATGGATAATTAAACAGTGGTTACCATGGGTAAGGCAAGGGACAGGAAACGGGGAGATGTAGGTCAAAGGATACAAAATAGAAGATATGTAGGGTTAACAAGTGTAGAGATCGATTGTACAACAGGGGGACTAAAGTTAATCAAATTGTATTATATTAGGGATTTTTGTTAAATAAGCAGATTTTAGCTGCTCTTGTCACACACCAAAGAAAGTAACTATATGAGATGATATGTTACCCTGCTTCAATATGGTAACCATTTCACTATCTATATATGTGCCATAGCATCATGTTGTAAACCCCAAATATACATAATAAAATTTATTTAAAAATAAAAAATAAATCATACTTCTACATACTAACAATGAACATGTGGAAACTGAAATTAAACACACGATACCATTTACAGTCACTCCAAAGAAAATGAAATACTAAGGTATAAATCAAACAAAGCATGCACCAGAGGGTGGGTTCAAATAGTAAAGTTCCAAATATCTTTCTAAAATTTAAAAAGTAAAAATATGTACCCCTGTACACTTGATTCAAAGCAACTCTACCATACCCTCTCTAACAAAATCAATATTGTTTTCAGGGGAAGAATACTTAATCACTGACTTATTTAGAAATGCTGGCTTACAGAGGTGATAATAAAAAGACCAGCTTTTGTTTTATTCTTGTGCTAAAATTCTCTGTAGACGATGCTCCATTTTATTAGCTATACCAAATGCAGACCACTCCCACTGCCCCACTCTTTGTAGGTTGCTGATTTATCTTCAGTTTCTTAACAAGAAATTGCCCTCATTAGCTTTGGAACTGTGGCCTCCAAACATCATTATTTTAGTATGTGTATGCGGGGGAAGGGGCGGGTGCTGTTGGTGACTTTCTGTAAGGTGAATTTTTTGGTCCTTCTGAAGACCTTCAGTTGCTCACAGCATTAGGTGGGTTACAACATACCCCACTATGAGCTATGTGGCCTGGAGGTGATTTTGTTGTTTGCCTTTGGGGAAGAGTGTCATGATCACCCTGTATACATTACAGATCTCCCCATCTGCCCTTCTCCACATACACACACCCTCCAAGAAACACCAAGTCCTTTTCCTCCTCTCCTGTGAGATAACATTTTAAGAAGGAAATGTGTCTTCAGTGCTCAGTCTTCCCCCAGTCCTTATTTACAATGTTTGGCTAACTGTCAACCTGTAGGTCCATCCCCCAATCCTGCAGGACCCCATGTCCCCCATCCTTCTCAAATGCCTGCCTCTTTCCTTTCCTTTCCTTTCTTCCCATCATTAGAGAACAGGAGAAGATACACGCACACAGACATCTGCCCTTAAAATTTGATTTTATTTTAATCATTGCCATCGGTGCACCATGTATTTATCAGATTTGGTTTTTCCATGGTTGACTATTACTCCACAGCTTGTTCTGGAGACTCCACAGATAGGTCTAGGTCTCTGGTCTCTTGGATTGATCGATGGAGTTCTCTGGGTTCTCTTCTTTGTTCTTCAGCTGATTTTGATTTCTTTTCTTATGCATCCTGTAGTAACAGACTATTATTGTTGGCATTTTTATTTTCTTCATCTTATTTGCATTCTGTTGAAGGGCTAATTTTACCATTATGAGTATCTTCTGAACATGGGAAGAAAATAGGGAGAGGCCAGAAGGGCATTACTTTGAGGGAAGAGGATGACGACTGGATGGCAAGGGGGACTTTATGAGAATGGATGCTGGTTGAGGAAGGGGTTTGTGCCAGAGAAGGACAGGGTAGAGTCGTGGGGTGGAGAAGAAGAGGAGGGTCATGGCTAAGGTAGTCTGACCATATCACTCTCTTTGTTGTTGTATTGACAGAGGGTCTTTATCTCCTTCTTGCCTTTGGTGATTGGGGTTGGCTGTTCCATGCTTACAGTTGGTTGTTGCATATCTATGCTAGGCTCCTCTGGTGTGCAGATTTCCTCAGCCATATTGAAGCCTCCCAGTGGTCTATCCCAGGCCTCTGCCCTCACTATATATATCCTCCTAGCGGTAGTGAGAACCACACCCTTAAGCTTTGTTTGGTCATCCAGCACTGCTCCAGCCAATAGTAACCCTGAGATGGCTTAGACATCACAAAGCACTACCCTTGACACCTCCCTGAGTGGGGGAGGAAAAGAGGAGGCCAAGATGCTGTTGTTGTTTCAACATCCCCTAAAGATGCATCCCAAATTGACCTGCTACCCCTCCTCATCTCTCCATCTTCAATTGTCATGATTCACATGGAAAGAAGAGAGTCATTTCTTCAAGTCCTTTCCCACAACCTCCTCTATTAAGTCATTCATTGTGTACTCTACCAACCATTACCAGATATTTTGGATGCCTTACCTAAAATCCCTACAAGCTTGTGTGGCCACATTTAAGTCTTAGTGGATATGTGAATCATCCCATTTGCCACCTACAATCCTCTCCTATGCATCTTCAAGATAATTTACTTTTTGGCTACTACCAGACAACTTTTCAATCCCCTTTCTTTTCCCTAATGTCCCTGTAGTTATATTCAATTTTATGTTTCCAGTCTGAAATCATGGCCTTCAGCTTGTCAAAACTTCAATGAATTAACTTTCATTACTAGGTATCCTAGCCTTGTTTCAAATCAAATGGATGTGTTCATATTTGTACAGGTGTTCCCTGGGTTACAGATGAGATACATTCCTGAGAATGTCTTTAGTTCATATTTGTATGTAATTCAGATCCATGATGAACAGTGCATATACAGTAGTAATAACACAATAACACCAATACTATAATGGCTTATATGTGGAAATAATAATACTGTTTAATACTGTAATAATAATAATATTCTTGTACTGTAATAAGTTACAGAAACTATTGTGCTTTTTCTTTTAATTCTAACAAATAGAATATAAAAACAAACTTATATCAAAAGTTTAAATAGAAGATAGGAGAAATTTCTACAAAGAATATTAAAGGTTAATACTCACCTAATGTTGTATCAATGCTAGGCTAATAGAAATTTTATGCTTATTTTGATCTTCTAACCAATCAATAATAACCTTTCCATTTCAATAATTAATCCACTATGCTGCTTAGTAATAATTGATGTTTTCATTGGAGCACTGCCTTTCACATGTTCCATTATGCTCGTTTTATCCTTTATAATTGTTCTGATAGTTGAGCAACTGAAGACTAATGCTTTCCCAATGAATGATGGCATCTGGCCTTTTTCCAAAAGCTTAATTATTTCTACTTTCCTTTCCACTATAATCACCTTTCCAATTGCTGCAGGCTCACCTGGTCTTGCAGTGGACTTCTGCTTTGGGGGCATTATTATAAGAGTAAACACAGACTGACAAAAGTGAATAAAATAGTTAAGATGAAAGTGATAATGTATGTAAGAGACCATATAAACAATGAGACTAGCCACTAGCATAAAAATCCTACCCCAATGAACCACTTAGGACATGGGCTTTGTTTACATGTGCAGAAGAAACTAGTGCCCAAACTATTAATTTAATTATATATTATCTTTAAGGGGAGGTTTGGGAGCCTGTTCATAAGTATGGAATGCTGTAAGTCGGGTCTTCCATAGCCTGGGAACTGCCTGTAAATGTAGTATCCTGACATATATTTTCCCAATGTAGGGGAGAAGGAGCAGGCATTCATGTGATAAAAGTTGTTATGGGTGTTTAAATGCAGGATACTACAAACCCAAAATGAATGTGTGAACCCAGGGCGTATATTGCTATCCTCTGTACTAGAGGTTCTTTTCAGTGCAACAAGGGAAGAAAAGACATTTAGATTGGAAAGAGAGAAGCAAAAGTGTCTCTTCAAAGACTACATGAGAGCCTATATACAAAACTCAATCTAAAAAAAATGCTTCTGCAACTAATAACTGAGCTTAGCAAGGTTGCAGGATACAATATCAACACCTAAAAAAATCAACTCTTTGTGTATACATTAGCAGGGAACAACTGGAAGTTTGAAATTAAGAACAGGGAAATTTGAAATATCACTAAAATTATGGAATACTTAGGGATAAATGTGATCAAAGATGTAAAAAGACCTGTACACTAAAAACTATAAAAAATTGCAAACAAAAATTAGTGACATAATGAAATAAATGGAGATATATACTTTGATTATAGGCTAGAAGATACAATATTATAAAATTCTTTCCAAATCCATCTGTAGATTCAACTCAATCCCAATCAAAACCCAGAAAGGCTTTTTAATAGAAATTGACAGGGTAAATATAACATTGATGTCAAAATACAAAAGACATAAAGTAGCCAAAAGAAAAGTGGTGAAACCTGAATAAAGTGTGAATTGCATCAAATCACTGGTCTGATTTTGATAGTGTGCTGTAATGGTGTACTGAAGATTTTAACTATTAGGGGAGGCTGGATGAAGAATACACAAGGCCTCCCTGTACATACCTTTGAAACTTTTTTGTGAATCTATAATTATTCCAAAATAAGCTAAAAGATTAAAAGAAAAAGGGGGGGCAAAGATAGAGAAGGCATGGCTCTGTCATTCCCCAACAGATGGACATTTGTCCCATTCTTTTGAGGAATTTATACAACTCAAAAATGTGAAAAATCAAAAAATAAACAAAACAGGCCTAGAGCCTGGATTCTTGTTCCAGTATTTGTCCAGCTCACTTATCTTTCTCTTATACACCATAACATCGAGAAAGGCCTATCAAAATGCCCTGTTAACCTCCAGACACATTCAATTTATACCATTTTTATAATCACCATCTGCTCCAGGGGTGAGGAACCTGCATCCTTAAGGCCCCCTGTGGCCATCTAGTTCTTTAAGTGTGGCCTTTTTCATTGAATCCAAATTTTACAGAACAAATTCTTTGATTTTTATTAATACATTTTTGTTCATCTTTTATATTTTTATTTTATTTTTAAAATGAACATATTTAAAATACCAAAGAATAAAGTAAGTTTCAATGAAATAATCTCTCAGATTGACTGGCACAATTAGAACATTAGTAAGTCATAAAGGCTAAATCGATGGCTGCTATGCTCATGATTTAGTTTAAACTTCCCCCAACTGACTGGTGCCACTACTGCATGAAGCTGGTTGGTGAGAGTTTATGGGGATTGAGTAGGCCAGTCTGTTATCAGCTCTTGACAATGGTGCACTGTTTCTGTTTGAACTGCAATTTGTGAATAGTTGCATTGCTTAACAACCCATCATGTCAAAGAAGACCAAGAGAACACGGAAAGAAGAAAACAGATTTTTTAATGAGGATTGGGAATTGCAATATTGTCTTGTTTCTGCTAAAGATAAGATAATTTGCTTGCTTTGTGATAGTGCAATATCAACATTAAGGAAATTCAATGCTCATCAGCATTATAACAATCATAAGGACCACAAATATTTTAAATTAGTAGGAGAGGCGAGAAATGTTGTATTGCAAAAGTTAAAAGATGAAAAGCAAAAGAAATGACAATTCTTTCAAGAAGCAATAAATCCTGGAAATAATGCCACTGAAGCAGCTTCTAAAGTACCTTATATATTTGGGGATAAAAGGAAGCCATTCAGTGATGTAGAAATTGTGAAAGAAAGCATTGTCAAAGTTGTAGGATGCTTAGACCTGGATAACATTTCAAAGTACAAACAACTACCTCTTTCAAGGAGAACCATGATTGATCAGCCACATGAATTAGCCTTCAACTTAGCAGAAGAACTTCATGCAATATTTTAAAAGTAAAATATGTATTCCTCAATTGCTTTGGATGAATCAACTGATACTGACTCAGCACAGGTTTTCTGCTTCATTCAGGTGATAACAGAAGATTTTCTTTGCTACAAAGGGTTACTCACTTTGGGCACTCATGTGAACAGAACACAGGGAATAGATATTTTCAACATCTTTCAAGATAAATGTCATGAAGTTGGACTGAAGTTGGTAAATTTAGTGAGTGTATGTACAGATGGTACACCTTCCATGACAGGAAAACATGACGAGTTTATTGCACAGATAAAAGAAGTATTAACAGATTGAGATGCTCTCATTTATTTTCATTGTATCTTGCATCAGCAAAATATCTGTGCTAAAGCTACTATTTTAAGTGACACTTTGCAAAAGTTATAAGTATTGTTACCTATATTTGTGCAAATATAGTGTAACATTGTCAGTTTGGTAACATGCTAAAGTTGAATGATGAGGTATTCAGTGTGGATTTGCTGTACCATTCTAAAGGGCATCGGCTATCACAGGGGCAGGTCTTAGCCAAAATTTTATCTCTGCAAGAACAGATAGTTAAATTTTATGAAGAACAGAATCAGCGATGTGAATTATTGAAAGAAGATTTCTATAGGAATGCAGCATTTCTGTGTGATATGTTCAATCAAATTGACTTTAATATTTATTTGCAGGGTAAAATTAAGTCTATATATGATATGTGGCAAAAAAAAAAAAATCCAAGTATTTTAAGCTATCCCTTTTCAGAACATTTCTTCTTCCTCAAGGAAATTTCAGATGAACATTTTCCCCAGTTAGCAAAGATCATCGATGAGCAGGGTGATATATGCCAAATCATTCGAAGAATGTGCTGCTGTTATAGACCTATTAATTGGAGAATACAATGAAAGGTTCACTGACTTTGAGAATCATAATATCACACTCAAATTAGTATTTCAGCCTCACCTAGTTGATATCACTAAGGCAACTAAAGAACTTCAGATGGAATTGATTGAGCTCTTAGTAGATGACATTGTACAGTCATTGCTTGACGCTAGGAAAGATCCAATGGAAATATGGAAAAATGCAGTAGAATACTCATGCCTTCAGCAACTCATGCCTGATAAATGCTTTATTGTTTTTCAACCACTTATTGCGGCAAAATCTACATTCTCCAGCTTAACACAAATAAGAGGCCCTTAA